TTTTAAAAAAAAAAAATAGTTGAGTAGAAAATTTTTCTCTCTCCATCAGTAATAACCACATCCGCCTTTATTAGTTTTTCTTTTTTCTTTTTCGTTTTTTTTTTTTTTTTGGTTTTCAAAGAGTGAAAACAAAATATTGGGTAAAATTTAACAAATTCAAATATTATTTTATTGCTTTTGTCCCTTTTACACACGCGCACACACACACACAATAAATACATATTTATACTAATCGTGTAGTAGTTAGAAAATTTATTTTGTACATAATTTTTTATAATTTTTTGAAAAGTTTTACCCCCTTATCGCCATTTTTGTTTTTTTTTGATAAATCAGATTATTTTTATCATCAGTTATTATCAATGATTAATTTCATTAAAAAAAAGTGATAACAAAAAAAAGGGAGAAATTATTAAAAAAAAAAAGTTTTTTTCTTTGTTGAATTTTACCCAATAATTATAAATAAATAAATAAAAATAATTGATTTTAACGTTTTTGGGCGGATTAATATTTTTCTTCTGCTAATGTTTTACTCGCTTGTCTTTTTTTTTTTTTTTTTCGAACCTCTTTTTCTTTTATAATCATTTTTCCCCCGGTGTCTTTTTGTTCTTTTTCAACACGTAGTTTTTTTTTTGCTTTTATTTAATTTTTCATTTTTTTTTTTTTTTTATTATCTTTTGTGCATAAACAAAAAATTACATATATTATTATTATTATTATTATTATTATTATTATTATTATTATTATTATTATTATTTATCATTGATATTAATATTATTATTATTATTATTATTATTATTAATATTTACGTTAAACAAACCACAATCGGTAAGAGCCAGTAGTTGACTCGTAGTCTCCTAGCATGAGTTTTATAATATTTTTCATAATTAATAAATAATTAATTGACGTTTTTTATTAATTAATAATTTTTTTAAGGGTGTAGTAGTAGTAATAATAATAATAATAATAATAATAATAAATAGTAGTTACGTTTATTTATTTATTTATTTGTAAAAAAAAAAAAAAAAAATTGAAAAATAAAAAGGTGGAAAATTTAGGGAAAAATTTATTCATTTCGACATCATTTTTTTTTTTTTTTTATTATTGAGGGTGTGTCTGTCACGATTATTTGTTTACAAACATTTACATCCCTCATCCTAAATATTATTATTATTATTATTATTATTATTAGGGAATTGTTTAAATAAAAAAAGAAAAGTCTTAAACGTTTTGCGATGGAGTAAACATTCATTCATAAACACAAGTTTTTTTTTTTTTTTATTATAAAAATATTACGTTACGTACCTTGATGTAATAAAAGTGAGAGAGAGAGAGAGAGAGAGAGAGAGAGAGAGAGAGAAAGAAAGAGAAAGAGAGAGAGAGAGAGAGAGAGAGAGAGAGAGAGAGAGAGAGAGAGAGAGAAAGAAAGAGAAAGAGAGAGAGAGAGAGAGAGAGAAAGAGAGAGAGAGAGTGAAAGAGAGTGAAAGAGAGAGAGAAAGAGAGAGTGAAAGAGAGAGAGAGAGTGAAAGAGAGAGAGAGAGAGAGAGAGAGAGAGAGATTTAATTAACCTGATAATTGTTTAATTTTTTTTTATATTTATTTTGAATGTTTTTAGCTAAATTAGATGGAGTTAAAACTTATATGAGAATGAGACGAGTGCCGAATCATCTTCAGGTCAAAGTAATCAAATGGTTTGATTATTTATGGTTGACGCAAAAATGTTCGGATGAAGAAAAAGCCGTGAGTTGTTTGCCAGGTACGTTTTCCCTCAATTATTATTATTATTACAAATTCGAAATCTATGTATTTACATATAAAAAAAAAAAAAAAAAAAAGTTAAAAGGGGAAAAAATGGATTCTTTTCAATCGAATTTTTTATTATTATTATTTGTCAAAAATTTTTGACACTTTTGAATTTTTTTTTTTTTCCTTTTTTTCCTTTGAACGATTTCAAATGAATTTTCATTTTCCTTTTTTTTTATTTTATTCCCATCGAATTTTCAAAATAATAAATACGAATTTATTTTTAAAAAGTAATAATATTAAATACTGTAAAGTTTTTTTTTTTTTTTTCAAGTATTTTGACATTTTCCGGGGGGAGGGAGGGGGAGGGCGAGGGGAGGGGAAAAAGCAGAAATTTCCATCGAAGCAATTTTTTTTATTTTATTTTATTTTATTTTATTTTCCTGAATGGGCGTCACTTTTCATGCAATAAAATATTCAATATCTCGTAATAAATTACACTCGCGTCATAAGCAGCATAAAAAAAATTTTTTTTTTTTTTTTGTTATAAAAAATAATTATTATTATTATTTTGTAAAAAAAAAAAAAAACGAAAAACGAAACCTGAGGCACATAAATAAACCTATATAATGATTTTAAATTGTTTTTACGTGTGAAAATTTATTAATTCGGGATATAAAAGTGTCGAAATGTGAATAAAAAATTTATTATTATTATTATTATTATTATTATTATTATTTGACTCCATATTGTTTTTTTTTTTTTTTCCAAATAAACTAAAAGCGGAAATAGCAATCAACGTACATTTGGACACGTTGAAAAGAGTTGAAATTTTTCAAAACACGGAAGCCGGATTTTTATGCGAATTAGTTCTTAGATTAAGACCCGTACTTTTTTCACCCGGTGATTACATATGTCGGAAAGGTAAGTACATATCGTTTAAAAAAAAAAAAAAAAAAAGGTTCGCTGTACTAATTAATAATTATTATTATTATTATCAGGTGAAGTTGGTAAAGAAATGTACATAGTTAATCGTGGGAGACTTCAAGTTGTTGCGGATAATGGGAAAACCGTGTTGGCAACTTTAAAAGCCGGAAGTTATTTTGGAGAAATAAGCATTTTAAACATGGGTACAGCAGGTAAAAATCTTGGTAAATATCTCGGATCGGTCGGTCATCTCATTTCAATTTTATCCATTATTATTATTATTATTATTATTATTATTATTATTATTATTATTATTATTATTATTAACAATTTTATAACATTAGCATTCATTCTAATCGATTGCGATTTTTATGTAAAAAAAAATTGTTTTGTTGTCTTTGAAAAGATATATATATATATATATATTTTTTTTTTTAAACGTCTTTTTCATACATGATTTAGCAGTAGATGATGATAATAATAATAATAATAATTAATTAAATTAGGAAATCGCAGAACGGCTTCAGTTCGCTCCGTCGGTTACAGCGATTTGTTTGTTTTATCAAAAAAAGACATGTGGGACGTACTAAAAGAATATCCGGCGGCTCGAGTTAGATTAGAAGCGATAGCAGTTAAAAGACTGGAAAAATATAAAAGGGCACCGCTGGAAAAAGGTAATTTTTTTTTTTGGTTTTGTTTGATGTTACGGGGAAAGGAAATGATAATGATAATTATTTACAGCCGCAATGGGACGGAGTCATTCCACTCCAGGCCTTGTAGAGTCGAGAGGACGCGTGGCACTCGAAGAAATGTGGATTTCACCAATAGGATTAGCAGTCGATGATAATGCTCACAATTCTCCTACTTTAACTTCCAGGTATTTGAAATTTTAATTATTATTTTTCATATATGAAATAAATCATAATAATAATGATGATTTTTTTTTGTAGAAGTGCACCGGCTGTTGCTCAAAATGTAAGAAGTACCGAATCTCCATTATCACCATCATCAAGCGTTCGTTCCTCTGAAATTCATCATCATTCGCACGTTCATAGTCATCCAACGTCACAGCGACCATCAACTGGTAATTATATTTTTTTTTTTTATTTTTTTTTATTTTTATTTATTTATTTATTTAAATTATATATTGAATATATAATTTGAAAATTATTTAATTTCAGTACAAATGGGAGCAAGTTTTAATAGTATGACTCACCTCGTCGAAGGAGATTCAAATTGTCTGATTTGTCAAGATTCACTTTTGGCCGAAATAAAAAGGCTAAGAAACAGATTAATCACATTAGAAACTGAAAATGCTGCCATGAGTATGAAACTTAGTAAGCAACAGTGGGAAGTAAGTACATCTCTCTCTCTCTCTCTCTCTCTCTCTCTCTCTCTCTCTCTCACTCACTCTTTTTATTTAGATAGATTTCTGTCCTTTTTTTTAAAAAAAAAAAAAATCCCCACTTTATTCAATCAATCACCCAATGAGTTAAATAATATTTAAAGGTGGAGCATAGGTTGGCAGAAATTGAAATGCAGATATGCGGAGGTAGCAGTGCCGAATCTAGCACGGAAGATAACGAAAGGAATAAAGAATCGATAATTTAAAAAATGATGACTGATGATGATGATGATGATAATAATGATACAACGATTGAAATTTTAAAACGAAGAAAATTTATTCAGGTTTCTATTGGGTCATTCACGACAATTGTACCAACCTGAACGAACGAACGAACGAGAGGCGGTGAGTAAATTATCATAATAATTATTATTATTATTAAATTAAATTAAATTTTTTTTTTTTTTCTAAAAGTCGTAGAAGGAAAAAAAAATAATAATTAAAACGTGTAATGTTTTTTAGTTAGATTTTGATCGTTATTTATTATACGGAAAACTATTATTATTATTATTATTATTATTATTATTATTATTATTATTATTATTATTATTATTATTATTATTATTGAAAATTTTACCGAAGGAACCGTTAAAAACATCAAAATTCTTTATCGATAATATTTTTTTTTTATTAAGTTTAATAATTAAAAATATATATATATATATTTAAATTATATAAAAAAGATTTAATACTGCCAAAATTATAAAAAATATTATTATTATTACTATTATTATTATTATTATTATTGATTTTTTAAATTAAAATTTTATGATAATTAAAATGAGAAAATAATAAACGTAAATATTAACGTATATATATTGTTATTATTATTATTATTGCTTTTTTATTTTATTCGGTAATACCTGGTCTCTCTCTCTCTCTCTCTCTCACTCTCTCACACACTCTCTCTGTCTTTATCTCTCAGGTGAATAATATAAATTCAATTTGATATTGATGCCGTTATTATTATTATTATTTAAAATTTTTATTAAGATTTCATTAACAAAAAATTAATAAGTTATTAAGTTAATAAATTAATAATAAATCGTCTTCCGATTTTAAATAACACGTGCGCAAATTTTTATTTATTTATTTTTATTTATTTATTTTTATTTATTTTATTTATTTATTTATTTTATTTATTTATTTACTTATTTATGGCGACGTTATCGAAACGAAATGAATTAATTAATTAATTAATAGTTATAAAATAAATAAATGTACATAATGTATATAAAATAATTTTCTTTTAAAAATTTATTTATTGAAAATTTATTAAATATTTAACTCATTATATATACATACATAAATATTTATTTATTAATTAATTAAATAATAATAATCAGGGTTTATAAAAAAATAATAATAATAATAATAATTTTTCTTTTCCTCTTTTTCTTGTCCTTGGCAAATTATTTATTTATGTAAAAATAAATCGTTCCATTTAATAAAAATTATTAATTAATAATAATAATAATAATAATAATAATAATAGATGATTATTTTCATTTTATTATTAAATCACGTGACGTACGGTAATATTTATACATATATGTAAAAAACAAAAAGCCTTTTATTAATAATAATAATAATAATAATAATAAATTTTTTTTCTTGCCAAATTTTTATTAATGATGATGATAATGATGATTTAAATAATAATAATAATAATGAATAGGGAACGTTTGATATAAAAATTTTTAAAAGCTTGATAAAGAATTTTGATGTGATTAATAAATTAATAATAATAATAATAATAAATTAACGGTTTAGGAAAAAATTTTTTCGTTTGTTTTTTCGTTTCGAAGTCAATTGTCAAAAAAATTTTGTTTTTTTTCGGTTTTATAATAAGGAGGAGGTGAAGAGTTAATACTCGAAGTTATTTCTCATTTAAATATAGGAAAACATTTTTCGTGCGTGGAAAATTGTGGGAAAGGGAAAAGGGAAATAAACGTGCCAAATTTTCTTTTTTCTAAAATTTGCCAACCAACGAACGATTATGATCCCGACAGTAATTTAGGTTTATTTTAAACGAAACATTTCCCCCCCCCTCCCAACAGTTATTTATTTTGTCGTTTAAAGTGCCAACCATGTTTGTTTTCTGTTGTGATTATTTTCAATAGTAGGTGAGAGGGATATTTTTGGGAATTTTTTAAAACGGGACCAATTTCGGGTTAAATTCTCCTCCTTAAATTTTTTTTATTAAAAAAATTTTAAGCTTTCAATAACATTAAAAAAAAATTATTTTATTTGTATTAAACGATTTAAAGTTATTATAAATTACAATTTAAATTTAAATTTTTATTATTATTATTATTAATTTTTTCTATTTACACGTCATTTTTTGTTTTCTCATAACCGTTAAAAACTTTTCGTTAAGGATTTATATTATAAGTCCATATTTTTAAACTATTTTCTATCGTTGAATTATCGTTTTCGATCGTGGCATTAGTATCAATGACGTCATTCTCATCGTCGTCGTAATGAACGGTTGAAAAATGTCGTTGACCCGACGAACTTGCAAATAATAATTGATTAGGATGAAAATGAACGCCGTTAACGCAATCCTCGTGTCCTCTCCATACTTGAATCGGTTCCAGAATATTTTTTTCATTTGGTGGATTTTTAAGATTGTAAAAATTTACGTCACAATTTGTCGTACCTTAAAAAAAAAAAAAAAAGGTACAGAGGTTAAAGGTAGTTTAACACTTTTCCAGGAATTAATTTTTCGATTTAATACCGTATTACCAGTAATTAAGTATGTTCCATTCGGAGACAAATCAAATTGTATTTTTTGTTGTGTGGTAACTGTTCTATTCATCGAATAAAGAATTTTTCCAGGATTTCTCATATCCCAACAAAGAATTTCTGGATCTTTTCTTCCCCCCGAGAATAGGTATAATCCATCTGTAGAAAATTTAACTTGTGTCACTCCACCCGAATGACCTTTTAGAATGAACAGTAGTGCTCCTTCAGGTTCGCTGTATATACCTATCGAAACATAATTTTTTTTGTAATTTTATCCATTTTTTACGATTTATAATAGATATAATTTATCATTATCGAAACTAACCCACAGTTTTGTCATAACATCCGACAGCATATAAACTTTGTACAATTGGATTAATACATATTGATGATGCTATATTAGTTTGGTAAACAGGATTTCCTTTCGTTTTTAATATTCTTTCTTCAAATATTCTTCCAGGTTGAGCAGTATCAAATATTCTTAAATATTTTTTATATCCAGAATATATTTTTGAACCATCCGGTGAAAATGCAACACTGTAAGCAGGTGTCACTTCGTCAAACCTGGTAATAAAATTCCCATATGCTCGATTATTAAAATTTCGATTTGATCGATTAATGTTAAACCTTAAGAGTAACTACATACTGATTAATAGGCTGATAAGTTGCCCTTAACAACCCTGTATAAGCATCCCATAAATGTATTGGAGAATCTTGACTCGCAGATGCTAAGCTAATAATAATGATGAATAAATATTTGACCCTGATTATTAATAATTGTGCTTAAATTTAAGTATTAATATAAAAATATAACATATTAAAAAAAACATACACACATGAAATTGGATTTGTACTGTTCATTAATGGATACCATTCATAATCATAAATTGTTCCGCCTTCTTTCATTTGCAAAACCGGTTTTACATCATTGTCGAAAGTATTTAGATTTTGGGGAGTTTCGAACAATCTTAAAATATTATCATCGCTGTTGGATAGTAAACATAATCCATCAGGTGACCATTTACATCCTTTTAAAAAACAATTTTTACCTAATTTACTATTTAAGAAAACTTTTTCTATTTTTAAAACTTCAGAAATAAAATTAGTCTCACAACACTCTAAACTTGGTGGTTTTTGTCCTTCTTGTAATTCATTAACAACGGTTTGAGTTATATGTTCAGTGTTATCAGGTAAAACATTGCATTTTTCTATGAGTGGCGTTAAGCCAGATTCAGGAGGTAAAATTTCAGAGAAATTATCATTTTGTAAACTTTCATATTCTGCACTTTTACTTTGATTAATATCAACATCAATTGTTGATGTTGTGATAGGTTGTACTTCAAAACTTTGAGTGTCTGTATCGTACCGGAGTTTTTTATTTGCCGGAGGAAATAATAATATTTTTATAGTTTCATTTTCACTAAAATCTGTGATTTTTTCACATTTAAAATCATTTTTATCAGATATATTTTCATCAGGAGTATTTACAACAGAATTTTCCGAATCGATCAGCATTTTTTTTTTTGTAATTTTATCTCATAGTATTCACAAAGTGTTTTGCTGTACTCTCATACGATAGACAATAATGGCGGAGTATTTACTTTTAACGTGTCACTAGATAACTTAAAATTTTTATAAATTAAAAATCAATTATTTCAAAATTAATCCTTTGCATATTCACCAACGATTATAAAAAATTTCAATTTTAATTTAACCTTTTCAATAAAATTTTATTTTTTTAAAAATAATTTCATTTTTTTTTCTTTTTCTTTTGACCTTAAATTTCAAAAACCAAATTTTTCGTGCGCTTGCGCTTTGTGTTTATATCCGGTAGTTTTGCATTTCGGCTTTTTAATACTGATCTAATAGAAAATTTATAAAATTGTTAAAAAAACTAATATTGTTGTTGATTAAAACTTTTAATTAATTACAGAGTAAGTAGATCATTAGGTGTGGGAATAAGACTTAATTTTAAATTTTTAAACTGTTGTTTTATAAGAAATTCTGGCGTTGTTGCGTTTATGAGAAGCGTTTTGTAAGGTAAAATGGCTTCCCACGTGCAACTTTATCGATTTTTACTCATATTATCACATTTGAGTGAGTAACAAACGTTTAAATTGGTTAATTTATTACATAAATTTTTTAAAAATTTTTATTAGTTTGTAGATTTTTATTGTGTTATATTTGGCGGGAGAATCTTCACTTTGTTCAATGATACTGTACCCATAAAACTCTTGTATTTCTTGGTGGCTACTTGACTGTGTGTTTAAAATATTTTCAATTTAAGTACATAAAATGTCGTGGTCTTTATTATGAGTATTTCTAATCGTTTATTGTTTTGTTATTTTAATCGAAAAGCGTGCAATAAAAGTCATCCAATAGTGCAGAAATTCAATCTTGCAAATCTTTCATTAATTTCATTAATATATTCATTTTTTTGTTTCCTTTTTCACAAATATGTCTTTTTCATTTTGTTTTACTAATGATTCTATTTTTTATTGTTAAAATTTAAATCTGTAATCAGATATTAAAATGCTCGCTCAGTGTTTTCTCTCTTATCCAGTCGATAAATTTTTGTTAAAAATGGCTGTTGAGTAATTTTTTTTCTAATCATTAAAAAAAAAGTGAAAAAGTTTTCTTTGCTTTATGTCCAATGTGCATTTCTTTTTCTATATTTTTATTTAAAATCATTTATATTCAAATATATATATCATTTTTTGTGCAATAATATTTGAGGTTTTTACTCGATTAATTTTCTTTGACCTGCTCGTTTTTGAAAATTTCTTATTGTTGTTAAATGATTTAAATATGTCAAGGCAAGTGCTTAAATTTATCGTTTTTGTGTCATTAACCGTTTTTTTTTGTTAAACATTAATATTGTGCTTCATCCAAAAAAAAATTTGTATTGCTAAATTTAAAAATTATTAAATATTTATAATATTTGTATGTTATTTCCTATTTGGATAAACATACATAGATTTTGTGTGTGGGGAAAAAAAATTTTTTTACTTTTTACTCTCGAATCATAATTTTTTACATATATATATAATTTAAATTTATTTTTTTTTATCATTGTTTGTCAAAAAAGAAACAAACTGAATAGAAAAATATTTTTGTTTGATGATTGCCAAGAATTTTTTCTAGTTGTTGCACAAAAATTTTCATTCATAAAAAAATTTATTGTTAAATAATATGTCAATATTTGCAAAACTTGTAAGATAAATTCAAACAGGAGGAAGGGTTCACTTTAAATTTTATTTTATTTCATTTAAAAAAATTTTTTAATTTTTTATGTGTTATTATTACTACTCGATAAGTGATTTCAGTGAAGAAAAAAAAAAAAAATTATAAATCATTTAGTAATTTATTTATTTTTAAATAAATGTATTGTTGGAATAAGTTTATGTACATAATCGATAAATAAGTTGTGATGTTAAAAAAAAATAAATTTGATGTTGTCGCTTGAATTGACAAATAGTACAGAAATAAAAAATGGATGTTATATTTATAATTAATAATAATAATAATAATTTTGAAATCAAATTTTATATTTAAATAATGTAATTGATGTTTTTTTTTTTTTTTTTTTTTTTGTAAAATAAATTTTAACATTGTTTTTTTCTTTTGTTTTTTAATTATACAAAATTAATGAGGCAAATCAGAACTAAAACTCATTCATTTTTGGTATTTTCAGAGTGGAATTGGCGAAATATATAGAAAAATTAAAAAAAAAATTAAAAGTGCATATTAATGTGTTATTTATAAAAAAAAAAAAAAAAAGTGAATCTTCTGTCTTCATTATTACTAATTTTATTTAAACAAAATGGCTGAGGCAAAAAAATTAGTCGCAATGGTGGCCGGTGGTGCAGGAAGTCTCGGTTTGGCAACCGTTAAAAAACTTCTCACAATAGGTTATAAGGTTGTTTTATTTGATTTACCAGCGGCTGATAAGTTGGTGAAAAAACATTTCGAAGAAGAAAAAAATGTCACTTTCGTACCCGGAGACATAACGTCGGAGGAAGATGTTAAAAAAGCCATGGATTCGATCGATAATACAAATGGAGAAAAATTTGATTTATTGGTCAATTGCGCGGGTTTATCGCAGTGTCATCAAACGTTTAATTTCAACAAAAACAGTTGTGCCAGCCTTGAAGATTTTAAAAATATGATGAACGTGAACGTGTCAGGAACATTCAACACGGTCCGTTACGCCGCGCAAAAAATGTTTTTAAACGATGCCGACGAGGACGGTTTGAGAGGTCTCGTGATAAACACTTCTGGTTTTTTTGCTTACGACGGTCAAATCGGTCAAGTCGGATTGGCGGCCGTTGGCGGAGCCGTCGCAAGCATGACTTTACCCTTGTGCAGAGAATTTTCTCCCATTGGTGTGAGAGTCATGTCCATCGCGCCGGGAGTCATGGATTCAAATTTGACGTGTCACTTACCGAAAAACATTAACGAACATTTGGGATTATGCACGCCCAATCCGAAGAGAATGGGTTTTCCAAACGAATACGCGGAATTAGTCGTTTCGATAATAAATAATAAATTTTTAAACGGTTCGACGATACGCCTGGACGGCGGACTAAGAATGTATTTAATGTAATTTATAGAAAAGAATCCAAAAAGAAAAAAGGAAAACTTATTCCATTAGTGAAGTGATGAAGTAAACTAAGAATCAGTTTATTTATAGTTTTTCATTTCTCTTATTCTAGACTTATTCGGATTATATATGCAGATTAGATATTTTATAGATTTATAAATGTTTAGTCGCCATCTTTTTTTTTTTTTTTTATATTAGATGAAAACATGGTTTTGTTTGTTTTTTTTTACATGATAATTTAATATTGAGTTTCAACTCTTCTTGATATTGTTATGTACCTTCATTTTTATATTGATTTTGTATTTGTACATGCAAATAATATATATAGTATACTTATGCTATTTGTTCTTTAAATTTTTTTTTATATATATATATATTTATCTTTATTATTGTTACACAGTTAAAAAGTTTGATTTTGAAGTATTATAATATATAGTTATTTAGTTTCAGTGAAGTTATTTTTGTATATTATGTAGTTTTTTTTTTTTTTTTTTTTTTTTTTTGTTTACCGATGGAATTGTGTACCTTATTGTTTTGTAAAAAATGAAAGAAAGAAACAAAAACAGCAGGACAAAATATTAGTTTTTAAAAAATTTTTAATTTTTTTTTTTTTTTTTTTTTTTGGTTTAAAAGAAAAATGTGTGTGATTTGTCTGATCACCCGATTTGGTTTCTTTCTTCTGTGTTAGTATTAGTTTTAAATGAAATGATTAATTGTTTTGGGGGGTCTTTCTTGACCCCGCTATGAATTTTACAGATGTTTAATCAAAGTGGATTAGGAGGGACCACGTTTGGTTTACCCGGAGCAACGGTGAGTCAGACGACACACAATCCAATGAAAGATTTCGAAGTGACGTCGCCGCCGGACGATTCGGTATCATCGATTGCATTCAGTCCGGCATCGTTACCGCAAAATTTTTTAATTGCCGGAAGTTGGGATAACAACGTGAGGTGTTGGGAAGTCGAACAATCCGGGAAAACAATACCGAAATCCATTCAGTCTATGGATGGACCCATACTGGACGTTTGCTGGTCCGACGACGGAACAAAAGTTTTCATGGCTTCCTGCGACAAACAAGTTAAAGCTTGGGATTTGGCGTCTAATCAAACGATTCAAGTGGCTGCCCACGACGCTCCTGTAAAAACATGCCATTGGGTACAAGGCGGAGTTTATTCTTGTCTCATGACCGGGTCGTGGGATAAAACGCTTAAATTTTGGGACACGCGAACGCCCAATCCCATAATGACAATAAATCTTCCGGAAAGAGTGTATTGCGTCGACGTAGATTATCCTATGGCCGTCGTCGGAACCGCCGGAAGGAGCATAATTGTTTATCAGTTGGAAGGAAAACCACAGGAGTTTAAAAGAATGGAATCCCCGTTGAAATACCAGCACAGGTGCATCGCAATATTTCGAAACAAAAAGAAAATTCCGACGGGATTCGCCATCGGGAGCGTCGAAGGTCGCGTTGCCATACAATACGTCACTCCGGCATCGCCCAAAGAAAATTTCTCATTTAAATGTCATCGAGTCGCGAACAACACCGTCAACGGGTACCACGACATTTACGCCGTCAACGATTTGGCTTTTCATCCCGTACACGGGACTCTTGCCACTGTGGGCTCGGACGGAACGATTAGTTTTTGGGATAAAGATGCCAGGACGAAATTAAAACCTTTCGAACCGTTAGATCAGCCCATTGTGGCATGCGCATTTAATCACAACGGTCACATATTCGCGTACGCAGCTTCGTACGACTGGTCGAAAGGACACGAATACTATAATCCGGCTAAAAAAAGTGCCATATTTTTAAGATCTTGTTTCGAAGACATGAAAGGTAGAGCCTCGTCGTAGTCTTTATGGAACTTTCACATGGTGGTCTTGAGGAGAAGGAAAAAAGCGAACGTTACGATCAAATTTGTCGTCACGAGGAGGCAAAAACATGAGAAAACGTTCAAAGATGGTTGCCGAACGTGTGATTCAGGCCTTTTTTTTCCATTGCATTTATTTATCGCGAATTCAAATGCCGACTGTTATTTTTTTAAACATATATAATTTGTATAAATTTTTTTTTTTTTTTTTGAGGTTAAAGTGGTCAACAGTGAACCAACCTTCCTAATGACTCTGCAGTTTTGCATATTTTTTCTTTAACCGGTTGTAAATTAAAATTATTATTATTATTATCGTACGTAAACGATTAACTTTTTTTTTTTTTCTCTTATTAAAAACTTTACATAAAAAACAAAATAATAATAATAATAATAATAATTTTAGCAATACAAATTTCGAAATGAGTATTTTGTGTGAAAATTTCATTGGTTTTTGACAAATTATTCTATAACACTCATGTTTGTTTGTTTGTTTGTTCTTTTTCTCTCTTCTCTCTCTCTTTCCCCCTCTCCCCCCTCTCTCTCTCTCTCTCTCTCCTTCACTGATATGTTTTCAGGGTAAAAGAGTGAGAGAGAGAGTAGAAAGATATGATTGATTGTTTGATCAAAAAAAATTCAATTGGATCAAATCTCTTTTAATCATTGATATTGTTAAAATTTGGTTGGTCGATGATATGGCTTAAAATTTTTATCATTTGTGCGCTTATTATTATTATTATTATTATCATTATCTAAAATGAATTCTAAATCGATTTTTTTATTTAAGGTCGTCCATTGATCAGGTAACTGTCAATAATTAATTTGACTTCACTTTACACCTCTTGTCTGTGTGTGTTTGTTTGTTTTTATATATTTTTATCATAATCATTATTATCATTGCGGGTTGCATTAAAATTTCTTTTTGAAATTACAAGTAAGGAAGTAAGGAAGGAAGGAAGGAAGGAGGTAGTAATGATTGATATCTTTTGATAATAATAATTATTTATTTATTTATTATAAAACTCTTAATTCTTTTTGTTTTTTTTGTTGTTTTGCTTCGTGTTTATATATAAAGTTTTTTTTGTGTATGTTGGTAGTCATTGAGGTGACGGATAAAGAGAATAATTGAAAATTCTTGTAATTTTTTTGCTTTTACAGGTAACTAATCGACTAAATTATTATTATTATTTTTTACTTATTATTATTATTATTATTAACGTGAAAAACATTTTGATTTTTCCGATCTTTCGCGCATTTATTTCATTTATTCATTAATAGATCATCATCATCATCATCATCATCATCATCTATTCATTCGAGATCCCGGTGATTTTATTAAAATTTTTATTATTGTTTCTATCATCATCATCATTATTATTATTATTATTATTATTATTATTATCATTGTTGTTGTCGAAAGGTTGGTAATTGATTGGGTGTGGGTGTACACCGTAGCAAATTATGATTAGAAACGCGATTTATCACAAAAAAAAAATTTTTTTTTCTTGTTATTATTAGGTAATTTTTTGGGAATCCCCCTCTGTGACGTCACGCGCCCGCGTTTGATTAAATAATAATAATAATAATAATAATAATTTTTTTTTTCTTTTACGAAACTTGTAGATATCGTGATTATTACGAAATAAATACGGTGCAGAAAGAAGAGAGAGAGAGAGAGAGAGAGAAAAATTCCCGGCTTGGATTTCAGGTAGGAATGATAAAATCATTGTTTAATTTATTATTATTATTATTATTATTGCTTTGATAAGAATTTTTCTATGAGGTTAATAAGAATAAGATGAAGGGGGGGGGGGGGGGAAAGTCACGTGGTCTTGCAAAGGTACAATTATTTAAGTCGATTTGTTTGTTTTCTCCTCGAATTTAAAATTTAAATTTATTTAGGTTCAGGATTTCAAGTACGCGAATTTAGTATGTTGGTCGCGCCGAATTGCGTAGTGGCAGTAGTGGTAGTGGTAGTGGTAGTGGCAGCAGAATCGGTGTCGGATTAACGACGAATATCATCACATGATTGATTGATACTCGGTCGCGGGAGGGTCGCGTCTCTCTTTCTCATTTAAATTTTTTTTTTTATGCGTTTTGATAAGACAAAAGGTTTTGTTGTTATTATTATTATTATTATTATTATTATTATTATTATTATTATTATTATTATTATTAAAATGATTTTATCGATAATGATAATGATTGAGGCAATAATAGAAAAATTTTTTTGTTTCTCTCTCTCTCTCTCTCTCTCTCTCTCTCTCTCTCTCTCTCTCTCTCTCTCTCTCTCTCTCTCAAGGTTTATAATATAATAAACGTCGTCCATTTGCGTTTTTAGGACTCGTTATTCGTCTTTTTCGATGATGATAAAAGAAAGAGAGAGAGAGAGAAAAACCCACCAACTTGTGTGATTCGAATTAATAAGTACTTTAAAATTTTTTTTTTTTTTTTTTTGATAAAGTTTAAGTAGTAGCAGTAGTACCACTTTGAAAGTTAAAAATAACAAAAAAAAAAAAAAAATTTTGCAATCGTGTTCGAACGTTACAATAGTATATATGTTTATATGGCCGTCCTGTCGCGGCAGCCATTTTTTAACGGTTTTTTTTTTTTGAAAATCTCGCAGGTGTTCCGCGATATACCCCTTATCGCTTATCACCTCGTCACTTGTATATTCTGCAAATTCCCTCAATAATTGTTCGCATATTAATAAAACAAACGATTACGTAATTATATTTAACTTTTGATTCGTTGCGACGCGCACGCGCACGCACTCACTCACGCACGCACGCACAGGCTTTTGTGGCATCAGTTATTTAATTCCCTAAAATTACCGCAAGTAATGCGATAATTAAACAAGTAAGGAAATGGGGGGGGAGGAGAGGGGAGTTGGGGGAGGGGAAATATGACGAGGAAAACGTACGAATTTAAAATTTTGTCTTATTTTTTAATTAATAATAATGATAATAATAATAATGATGAAGTATTTCGCGTGCGCCTTTTTCAAGTATCATATCTAACCTTGTTTACATAAGAAAACAAGACTTCTTTTTTTTTCTTTCCTTGGTTGGTTTTCTGACAATGATGATGATGATGATGATGACCCTTTTATAATAATAATAATAATAATATCAAGTTGTTTTTATCATCATCATCATCATCATCATCGTCCTTTCAAGATTATACGTTTTATACACAATATTAAGGTTTATACGACGATGACGACGACGACGACAATGGCGACGTGTGCTTCCTGTTATTATTATTATTATTATTATTTCGTACAATTTCATTTTTTTTTTTTTTTTTCTAAAGCTTTCTGACGAGGAAGGAGTGTTTTTCTTAATAATAAATTTTTTTTTTCTTTTTTATTTCCGACGTCGGATGCGATTTAAAAAAATATTATTATTATTATTATTTTTTATACATGAAGTCTTGCGTATGTATAAAAGTAAAAGTCTTACGTAAGTTAAAAAAGAAACCGCAATGTCGGCGACGGGTGGGGAGGGGGGAAACCGCGGTTTAATCGCTTAGAAAAGAGAATAATAATAATAATTTTTTGTTTGCATTTTGATTTTATTACTATGTTGAAAAGTCGAAAAGAAAAAAGAAAAATTATTCCGAGAATTTTCTAGAATTTTTTTTTTACGTCGTCGCTCACACAGAAAAAAGAAAAAGAAACATTGTCGGTAAAGTCTTTAATATTTTAATCCGAGAGTGTTGAATTTTTTTTGTACGTGGCAGAAGATAAAAATTTGTTGAGCTGTCGTTGTCGTTGTCGTCGTCGTCGTCGTCGTCGTCGTGTCTTTGAAAATCCTTTGCTATCTTTTGATTACTTTTCCGTTTTACGGTTAAGTATCAAATTAATTCGTTTCCATTTTTAGGATTATATTATTTATTATATGTAATTAATTGATTAGAAATCTGTTTGTTCGCTCTTATCATACGAATTATTTGTTTTTATTGACAATCATCAGGGTCGATTTAACAAAAAAAAAAAAAAAACAAAAAAACTCGTACAATTTCAAGTGGGAAATACGTATGAAATGATAATAATAATAAAGGGGACTCCCCTTAAAAAAAAAATTTATTTATTGGGAATACCTGAAAGGCGAGGTCGTTTTTATTAATCGTGAAGATTTTATTTTAATATCGTTATACCAAAGTTTCGCCATCTCTCTCTCTCTCTCTCTCTCACTCTCTCACTCTCTCTCTCTCTCCCTCTCTCTCATATTATTTTTAAACTTATATTATTCAGATGATGTTGGACTTTTGTCAAAAAAAAAAAAAAAAAAAAAAAAGTTGTCGCAAAAACAAAAAGTGAAGACAAGACATTTTACGAAAGGTAAATAAATAATTTTGTCGTAAAAAAAATAAAGGAAACGCTTAATAATAATAATAATAATAATTTGATAATTATGATGAGTCTGATTCACGCTTTAATAAGTTTGCGACATTTAAACGAAAAAAAAAGAAAAGTTCAATGATTTTTTCCCATTCGATTTAATACGACAATTATGGAATATCCAATCACGTGATTGATTTTTTTTTTTTTTTCGGGGTTATTTTCAAATGTGAAAACGCGAAAAAATGTGCGTGTGTGAGTGCGTGTGCGTGCGCGTACTTATATATATTTTTTTTTTATTGAAATGACCCGACCTTGTTGTAAAATTTAATTTGAAAAAAAAAAAAAAAAAAAAAAACAAAAAATTATTTTTTTTGAAATGTCAAGTTCAACGCTCACGGACATTCCCGAGACGTTATAAAAGGTAGTTTTAAAAAAAAAAACGAAAAAAATTGTTTCAAAACTTTCCCCTTCATTTTTTTTGTTTTTAATAAATTCCCCCTCTCTTTTTACGGAGTGTAATGTATTTCGCTAATTGTTTCTAAACAACACGAATACGTGGTTAGGCAAAGCGAGGGGGGCGGAGCGGGGCGAGGAGGAGGAGGAAGGGGGAAGAGGAGGAGACGTAGACGGAGGAGGGG